AGCCACTGGAGTGACAAAGTAAACAAACAAACAAACAAACAAACAAACAAACAAGCAAACAAACAAACAGAAAAACCAATACAAGTGCTGACAAGGATACAGACTAACTGGAATTCTCCCTTAAACTAGACAACCCAGCCAACCTCGTCTCAGGATATTTACCTCAGGAATAATGCATAGCACAGGAACCGCTGTGTGCCTGCCCAGAGCAGCTCTGTTGATGATCACTTCAAGTTGGAAACACTGCCACGTCCAGTGGTGTATACCCACGTAGTAGTATGACGTTCGGCACACTAAGGAACATCCATACCTGCAAGGACACTGTATGTGGAAGACCTCAAGAGACAGAAGGCTCTGCATGGTCTGATTCGGGGCAGGTGACATCCTGGCAAAAACAAGAAGTGAATGGATAGTAAGTGGATGACTGGTCACCAATGAAGGTGTCCTGTTGGCACAAGCTAGCAGTGGGAGCCTGCCCAGTGGTTCCGTGGGAGAAAGACCTGGTGGACCCCGGCCATAACGATCCCAGCTAAGACAACCCTGCGTGGCAGTTCCACTCTGACTCATGGAGGCCCCATGAGTCAGAAGTGACTCAGCAGCACCCACCACCACCACCAAATGTCTGCCAATAGAATCATGCTGTCTTGATTATTAGGTCAGCCTCAAATGGGGTGGGTCCTAAACCTAATGACTTCTGGGCAGTGAAAAGAGCAAAATAGACCCAGAGAGGCACACGCCAGGGGAGAGAGAGCCAGAGAAAGAAGACAGATACCTCTACAAGCCCAGGGGTGCCAAGGATTGCTGGCCGCTACTGGATGCTGACATGCACAAGGGAGAACTTCCTTCAACCCAGAGACACTTCCTGAATGCAGATTTCTTGACTCCCGGGTAGTGGAAAAACACAGCTCTATTCTTTGAAGCCACCCACTTGTGCTTTGGCAGAACTAGGTAACAAAGCAAGGAGCCTTGGTGGTGTAGCGGGGAACTTGTTGGCTGCTAACCTCGAGGTCAGCAGTTCTAACCCACCATCTTCTCCAAAGGCGAAAGAGGAGGCTTTCCACTCTTGTGAATGGAAGTACAGGCTCGGACACCCACAGGGTCGCTGTGTGTTGGAATGACCTAGCTGGCGGTGAGGGAGGGAGGTAACTAAGCCACTGGAGATGGAGAGAGAGGACTGACTGCAAAAGAGCACCATGGAACTTTCTAGAGCGTTGGGCACACTCTATATCTTGAGTATGGCTGCTGTTTTAGGGCTGTATACATTTCTTAACTGCACACCTACACATTTTCCTTTAGTTTTACATCCCACCCCATCCAACCTAAACTCTTCCCTCCAACAGAGAGAGGGGGCAAGGGTGTGTGTGGATAGGGTCCAGAATGAGTATTTAAGCTATTGATAGAGTAGACTGTACTCCCTTGCCCCCATATTTGTAGGTTTCTAACAAAACTAGCCATCCTCTCCCTCCTTAGTGCTCCACCCACCCCACCCCACCTCTTCTCCAGGCGGATGAGGCTGAATATCTGCCCCTTTTGGAGACTCACTGGTCACTCACTGCAAGTTTGGTGGTTTGAGCCCACCCAGACATGCTGGGAAGGGAGGCCTGGTACTCTGTTCCCAAATTAGCCACCGAAAACCTGAGAGACTCCACTTTGACCCATTTGGGGTCGCCAGGAGTTAGAGTTGGCTTGATGACAACTATTTTGTTTTTCACAGTAATTTAGTATTTTCTGCCACAGGAGATTTTTTTGACTCCTCCCATTGCAGCCACTTTATCACAGGCTTTTTCTAATTAACCCTTGACTTGTCTGTCTCCCGGACATCCCCTCCTGGACCCAAAGGGCCTTGGATGTCTTACAAGTTGAGACCAAATCTTGAATTAATTTGTCAATCTTGGCATTTTGTACCTTGCTCATTGTAAGGGGTCAATCAATGCAGAATCTGTGACCGCTTGGATGTCTGATTGAATGGATGAAGTCATACCTCAGTGGGAGTGGGGAGGAAAAAGAAATGACTGTGAGAAATATTGTAAAGGAAGACCCCCTGCAGTACTTTATAACCCACTGGATGGAGAAAGGGTCCAGGATGACCCTTCGGGCGGCTGGAGAGTTATGGAGCTGGGCACGATGGCAGACGGAACGAGGTGGGCTGATGGAAGAGGCTGAGTCTCCTTTGGAACTCTGCATTGTTCAGAGTTTCCTGGGAACACTGGAACTCTTGCGAGGCACGCCGAGTGCTCCCGGGGACATTTGTGATGAGAGCTATCTTCATAGTGGCAGGCTAATTTCAGAGTAAGTTTATTAAAATTAGCGTGTGGGGGAAAGTGAGCATGGCTGCCGTTTTTAACTAATGGGATTCATGTTCTCTCCTGTGCTGGGAAATTCGCATATGCACTTCTAAAATTGACAATTTCTACTCTTATTATGCTAACGAAAAATTAATTTAGGGGCCCGCACTTTGAAATATAGCTTATTGGCTGAAGGTGAAAAGCAGCTTTGGCCAGTCCTTGAATGGAACATGCCCAGAGCGGATGGCACCGCTCACTGCCCACCCGGTCTGCCACCCCCCAGACGGCAGAGAACGTAATGGAGTTGAGTGTCTGCTACTCTCTCCCTGGCCTATTAGGCAAGGTGGTGCGAGAGGTAGGGGACACCTGGTCCCCATGGAGCACAAACCTTTGGTGGATTGTTATTTTAAAGTCTTCCCATTTTCTTCTCACCTCTTTTAGTCAACACTTAAGATTTCATTATCTTAACGCTATTTTATTCCAACAAATATCCTAATTCTGCTCAGGTTATCAGACCTTCTTTAAACCAATCTACTTTCTATATAACGAGCCAATTAAGCAACTCAAAAAAATCACTTGTGTGAGGTCCCCTGACTTAGAAACTTTCAATGACATCCCAGTCCTTGGCTACAAGGCTAGGACCACCACCTGGCCTTGACCTAGCTTTCTAGCCCGATCTCTTGTTGTTCCCCTTGGAAATTGGTTACTCTTGGCAAAGTAATCTGCCACACATTCTGCCTTCTACCTCCTGCTCACCCTTTGCCCTCATCCTGGTGTCTCAGGATGAGGATGTCCCAGGATACGATTCCCGCTCCCCCACCCCCCAGCCTGCCCCGCCTCTCCTCTACACACAACCTTTCCCAGCCCTTCAAGGGGGAGTGGAAATCACACACCCCTCGTAAAATTGTCCACGGCACCAAGCTTGAGGTGAAATCTTGGTCTTGTGGTCTTGTACACTTTTCATTTAGCACTTATTGGCTTCTCACCACAAGGTCAGTGGTTCAAACCCACCAGCTGCTTCTCGGGAGAAAGGCGAGGCTGTAAAAGGCCTTCTCTGTGTGTGGACCTCAATGAACTTCTATGTGAGTTAGTGAGCTCTCTTGTGGGTTAGGGCAGGATACCGGGATTCTGGCATGAGGGGGCTCCTGGCTGTGGCCTGAGAGGAGCAGGACGTGACGAAAGGCACTGGTGGAGTGTCTACAGTGATCTAGTTCTGGCGCACTTGAAGGGCCTCGTGGCTGTGTCTCTCTTGATAGCGCTTTATCAATGGAAGTCAGCGATGTCAAGATGAATTTACTGACGTGTGTGTGGCGGGTTGACGTGACCAAACCCAAGCCAAACCTCTGCTGTTCCTTCGACTCTGCAGGGCGGAGTAGAACTGCTGCAGAGGATTTCCAAGGTTATAATCTTTATGGAAGCAGACTGCCTCATCTTTGTCCTCTGGAGCAACTGGTGGGTTTGAACTGCTGACCTCTCAGGTAGCAGCCAAGCACCTACTCACTGTGCTTTCTGGGCTCCTTCAGTGGGTGCCAACAACAGGCTGCTGATGTTTAAGTGTGGCATGGTGCCTGGCAGGGCACTTGGTGTGCACCTACTGTGTGCAAAGTGTTGTCCATGGGACAGCTGCCCACAAGGAGTTCACCGTCTTGGGATGATCCAGAGTTGGGCTAAGACCCCCATTGTTAATATGGCACACATAGTAACAAGGGCCCTGTAGGTCAGGGAGAAATTCATTGGGAGCAGGGGCTTGAGGAAGGTTCCTGATGGCTCTGGCCTGTGGACCAGGGAGGGGCGGGCCGGATGTCAGCCGTGGAGACAAACAGGATGGTGTTGTAGACATACATAAGACAGGGTCAGAGGTGGCAACATGCTGACCTTATTGGGGAAGTTCAGATCTTCTGGTCTCCAGCTGGTGACTCAGAGTGGGGCATCAGGGGCTGTCTGTTAGCCCCCGCTTCCTGTTGATAGAGTGCTGGGGGCCACACCAGCTGGGACATAGCGCCTCATCTTAGGTTTGCTATCTCCCTCGGGCCTTGAGAGGCTGGGGGAGAGGATGGCCTATTGAGGTTGAACAGATGGTTTGGGGGACTGTCGGTTGTGTAACAGGACAGGGTGACGGGCACCTGAGGATGGAGGACCCTGAGAGGGTGGCTGGTCATGTACGCCTTGCACCATGCCAGGCATGTAATACTTAATAGGTACTTGTGAAAGAGAGGGAGGGAGGGTAGATGGGAAAGGAGAAGTGGGAGAAGGAAGGAAGGAAGGGAGGGAGGGAGGGAGGGAGAGAGACTTTGGGTGCTCAGTTAATTGTATAGAAAAGATGGAAGGGAGAAATGAAAGAGGGGGGGCCGGAGACAGAGGGAAAGAAGGACAGAGGAAGGAATGATGGTTAGTTCATTTGCTGCCCCCTGCGCCCCTCTCCCCATCCTAGTGGAAGCCAGCTCTACTCTTCTGGAGACGCCCCTTCCCAACCTCTCCCCAGACCCACGGGGGTCCTGACAGAGCTTGGGATGAGCATCCACCTGCTCCCACATGTGTCCGGTGGCCTGGCCAGTGTCCTGGTTCCAGCTGCAGTGGGTTATGTAAGTCATTGAGCTCTGCCTCTCAGAAGTTCATGTGTCCTCTTGGGCAAATGGTCCCCAACCTTGCTTTCCCCGGACACCCCACTGGAACTGGACCTGCCTCTCCCCTCAGTTACAAAGAGGGTAACGTGAGATGGCGAGTGTGTGTCTTAAAGCCCCGGACTCTTCGCAGAGCACTGTGATGCTTTTGGAGAGGGGTTATTCCTCCTCCTTGCCTGGCTTTGGGAAATTCCTTCTGCAGGTCCCCAGGGCCTTGGCCGTGCTTCTGCAGAGGCAGACCACGACGTGTCAGCTGCCGGCTGTCAACTCAATGCCATTGGACATTCACACTGATGGGTGCAGATTGACAAGACCTGCTTGTTGGGCTGTCTGCAGACCCCAGGACCAAAGCAGTATTAGAGATGGCAAGGATGGGGGCTTCCTTTCCTCTAGCCTGCTCCAATTTGCTTTTCAATTTACTCCAGTCTGGTTCGTGGGCCCCGAGGTCAGTCAGTCCCCTTTCCTCGTCCCCAGCAACTTCCAGGGTGTTTGCAGGCTGCCCACTCTCTCCCTAGGCAGCCTCCATCTCCCCGCTCCTCTGCAGATCGGATCGCCCTTATCATTCACCTCCTGACTTTGAGCTCTTCGTTCTGCCAGCCCATCCCGTCTTCCAGAGTGGTACTGCCCCTCCCTCTTCAGACGTTTCCCTGGTCTCCAAAGCTGCCTGCTGACCACCCCACTTTCCTCATTTGTGAGTGTTTTGAATAAGCGCCTTTCTTTCAAAAAAAAGTTTCCTGTGGTGAAAATATACATAACAAAACATATGCCATCTCAACAATTTACACGGCACCTTTCAGCTCCTTGGATTGCATTCTTTGTTGTCCTGTGCATCCCTTCTCCTCTCTGGATACCCTTCTCCAAATCTGTCCTCCACCGCTCACATAAGCTCCGGGCACCCTTTCCCCTCCCGCACACCCCTGGGCCCACTGGGGACTGCCGCTTGCTCCGTGTTGGCTCAGCACATCGAAAGGGCTACCTGACAACGTCTGTCTTTTCATTTCTGACGTGCATGGCACAGCATCCATCTCCAAGATTTGTCCCCTGGGGACCGCATTCTGCTTCGTGGCTGAGTCTTCTAAGCCACCCTTTCCTTTCATTTTCATTTTAGTCCAACAGTCTGCAGCAGAACATACACCCATCCTCCATCCATTTCTACATGTACCACCTGGTCACGCTGCTTACATTCTTCCCACTGTTGCCCCCATTCTTACTGTCACCACCCAGGGTGCCTCTACAATTCTGACTTAGACTCAGGGGCCCCCAAACCAAAAGCAGGTCACTGTTGACTCCCAGGGTCGGCAGGCAATGTGGCACACCTGTTAGCTCAAGTCCAAAAGAACTAGAAGTCATACAAGCAGATGCGAAGCACAGCAACTCCCCACAGCATCTATTTCTGTGTTAAGTAGGCCACATACCCGCGAGGAAACATCGCTGGGGCTGTCATTGAGAGAAGGGGTTGCCCTCCACCCAAATTTTCCCATCATGGAATTGATTCCATTATATCTGATCACTTCGTGGGGGAGACCTCAGCTGCAGACTGGGAATCCTGGCCCAGCCAAGGGGACACAAAACCTAGCTCTCATCCCCATTGTCTCATGCTTCGGCCTAAACTTATTGTCACCCAAAGCCCTTCTTACTGTCTCTAGACCCACCTTTGCAGACGGGTTTTCTATTTCTCCATGTCCTGCCTCCTGTGCTTCAAGTTAATGGAACCCATCCAAGATCTCTCTCACAGGGCTTCCACACGTGGGGCCTTCGTGTAGCCCGAAATGGAAAGATTTCTTTTCTCAGAGATCCCAAGCTGCCCCCTACCACCTCCCTTCAGAGTTACTTCCCAGGAGCCTTGCTTCCAGCCTGGAGTTAGTTACCCTGGAGCAGGAGCGGGCACCTCCGTTTTGAGTCTCCCCATGCACCTGGTGCAAAGGCCTGGACATAGTTACATGCAGTGAGTGCATCGAGAAGGGGACCGTGTGAATACTTGACTTGAAACGCTGCGGGTGTAAAACCAGGACATCGCTTCCCTCCATACCTTTGTCTTCATCTGCACAACAGTCTCATCCATTTCTCTCCCCAGGTCACCTCCTCTCCATTTTTCTCCCGCGGCCTTCCGACTTTCCACATATAGATCGGGATCTTCTCCAGGCAGTCCGTCACATCGCCTCTCAATACAATCGAGGAGATTCATGGACCGCGAGGCATCTCCCTTCTCCCTTCTTCCTTCTTTCTTCCACACGGGCGTTTTATTGCATCAGGTTTATGGCTCGAGGAAAACGGGCAGACGCTGTGGCGGGGAGCTCACTTGGTTATAAAGCGCTGCTTTCTGTGACTGGATCCCAGCCTGGGTCACGGTGTGTCAGAATGTTTGCTGGGCTTTCGCTCCTCTCCTGACTGGACTTTCGGCTGGCTCCAAGGGTTATTTGTCACCCACAGCCGACTCCCGTGCAAAGGAAATTAGCGCGCTTCTTTGGCTCTGCTGGAAATCTTACCATCCTGGATAATCCTGACAAAACAACAACTCGCAGTCTCCTTTTGTCTGATAGTTAAGCCTGCGGAAACTCCTAGGCACTCGGCGGAATCCAATAGGGCATCACATCTTTGGCGTTTAGACAGTCCCATCTTCGTCTTCATCTTTTTCCTTTTTGACACCTTCCTAATTCCTTTCTTTAATCCTGGCAACCATTCATCACGACTCTATGGAACTGCCCCTGTGGGTTTCCGAGACTGTGAATCTTAAGGGGAGTAAAAGCCTCATCTTTCTCCCAGAGTGGCTGGTGGTTTCGAACTGCCGGCCTTGCCGTCAGCCGCCCAACACACTAGGTCACCAGGGCTCCCTGGCTAGCTGGTAGGGAATCAGTCCGCCTGCCTCATGGCTGCCTTATGCACGATGGCTGAACTGCGCTCAGGCCTGCACTGTGCCCGTGGTTTGTAGCAGATCTGACCGCTACTTTTATTGGTTGGTTTTTTGAAAGCGCACTGCCAGATTATTCTTCCTCTTCTGTCTGAGCCTGGAAGCTCTACTGAAACCAGATCAGCATGAGAGCAACCTGCAAGCCACCTCTGACTGGTGGACCGGTGGGGACTCACCTGGGTTTCCTACATGGAAAGTGAGAATTGTGCCACTAGATGACCGCTGTCATTGGGCAGGCGGTAGAATCCTCATGGTATCCATAGAGAGACAGGTGCTCTTGAGTGGTTGAGCCCTCTTTCTGTTCACCGAATAAGAAGCGAGTGTGTAGCGCTACATCACTGAACTTCGGGTCAGCTGTACTGGGAACGTTGGGTTTTGACCCGAGCCACACTCATGTTGGGGCAGCAGATGGCTGGTGGCACCAGAGATGTCACCGCTGACCTAGATCCAACCACAACTTGAGCTGATCAAGACACGTCCAGGCTTGGACTTCTAGATTCCTTCCCAGACTTGGGCACAGTCTAGAAATGGAGCAGATGTGGCATAAGGAACCCTAGATAGGTGACCATATCCTGGAGGGACAGTCAGGACACCTGACGGCAGTTGTCCACCGTGGCCCAAGCTGGTCCCAGCAGAAGCACCATGGAAGTGAGGGCATGAACCAGCCTTCCTCCACTGCCCCACCCTCGCCCACCACACCCACCACCACAGGCCAGTCCTAGGCAGCCTATGGCCTGATAGTGAATGGGGGACGTTTGCAGAGGGAAAGGGTAGGCTGAAGGTGTGAACCCAGCTATGATCATGAGGAAGGCGGCAGTGGATTGTACCTGTCAATAGGTGAGTCCTCTACCTTCACTCTGGCCCCTTTCTTCAGAAAATGCCCATAACTTGAAAAGGGACCCCCCCCCCCAGATCTGTATCCCACCGTGCAGAGCTGACTGCTGTTAACCTTTTAATGGGCAGCCTTTCAGCTCTTTTCCTGTGTCCATGTTTATAAAAAACAAGTTTCCTCGTGTGTGGCTGTTTTACATTTTCCTTTGTATCCAGGTGAATGTACATCCAGTGAATGCACACATGCCAAGTGGAGAGGTCAGCACATTTCAAATAAAGGCAGCCCAGGGTAGCTGCCGCCCAGATCAAACTGTAGGGCATTCGCTGCTCCCTGCTAGCTTCACATCCCCTTCCAGACTCAACATGTTCCCCTCTCCCTGCCCCGAGATTCCCAAGGTTCCTGCGATTCTGCCTCTGTGTGTTGGGTTGATAACTGGGTCTTTTTCGTACTCAGCAGTAAGTAGTGAACCCTTTCAGTGCTGCTGCATTGACCACCCTCCCCATCACGTGTAGAACGACTACCTCGGACTCCACGCTATCAGAAGTCAACATCTGTTGGCTTTTAAGCTTCAGAGCTACTGCATCACTCCCCACTATTGAGGAACCCCCGTGGTGTTGGGGTGGTTACGTGTTGGGCTACTAACTGCAAGGTCAGCAGTTCAAAGCCACTAGCTGCTCCAAGGGAGGAAGAGGAGGCTCTCTACGAGTGAAAGAGTCACAGTGTTGGAAACCCTCAGGGGCAGTTCCACCCTGCCCTATAGGGTCGCGAGGAGTTGGAACTGCCTCAGTGGCAGTGAGTTTGGGGGTTTCTTTGCCACCCCCCCTTCTCAGATAGGCTAGTTGTGTGATGAGGGTCAGCGATGAAAAGGAAGGCCGTCCACGAGAGGGATGGCCACAGGGGTGGGCTCAAACATAACAATAGGGAGGCTGGTGACAAGGGAGCAGGCAGTCTTCTGTTCTGTTGTACACTGGGTCAGTATGGGTCAATGACTGTCTGAGATACATCAATGCTCTGGTCACAGCAAGGGGCTCCAACACACCCATGGTTGTGAGGGTGGGCCGGCATGCTCATGCTTCATACCATTATACACGGGGTCCCCAAGGATGGGAGCTGCTGGCTCGAAGGCAACCAACAACAATGACCCTCGTGTGATCGCTCCGATGGCTCGTACCGTCACGACTGTGGTTGTGACCGTTGTGTGCCGTCGAGTGGAGTCCATCTCAGCGTAACTGACCAGGGCTCTAGAGGAGAGAGGACACGGCGTCCTGTTCCCAACACAGGCTGCCACCTGGGACACCCCATGGCGCCATTCTACCCTGTCCTGTAGGGCTGCGGCCTGTCGCTGTGACATTAGTGCTATGAGCGGCAGTAAAGCTACATTAAGTTTCCACTCAGAGCGCCCATGCTGTGGGCCAGGTATTGCGTGAGGCATTTAACTCATGGAGGATTAATTTCCGGCACACGTTTGATGGGACGCTTTTTATGTGCCGGGCCCTGAGCCCGGCTGCTTTGCATATGCAATTCCATTTCCTCCTCGCAACAGCCGTGGGACGCAGGCGGAGATGGCGCCGCTGTACAGCCTCGGTCAATACGGCGGAGGGATGACCAGTGAGCCTCGGGGAACATGCTGGGATGGAAATCCGGGCCTTTTCAGGTTTTGTGTTTTCCCGCTCACCAGCCTCATCCGCTGAATGAAGGAACGATTGAGGGAAGAAGGGAGTCCTTCGTTCTGCTACACTGATGTACTCATTTTCAGGAAGCGCGTGCCTCGAGTTATGGGGTGAGAAGGCACCCTTTCTTTCATTTAAATGCCCGGACATAGAGCTCGCTGTCTACATGGTGTTTGCATCTTCTGCCCTCAGCATCCACTCGGGTCCTTTCTGATGTCAGTAACAAACCCTGCCCTACAGGATGCCAAACTCCCTGGATGCCCATGGTTTGGCCATGGTGA